CTTACCTGATTTTGAGGGGAGAGTCCAGGGCACCCCAGGGAATAAGGGGCCTCAGGGATGACACTCGCAGGTAGCTGTCCCAGAGAAGGTGTTGGGTGGTCGGCAGTGGGTGCCGCATTTTTCTTCTGGGAACACAGTAGACATTCTGGTTCCCGAGGGAGAGGAGTGAAAGGGAGCCTCGATTTCTTCATCTGTAGGTGGAGACACCTACCTCCAAGAGTCGTGGGGCTTAAATACCATAGTGAGGTGCGCACAGGGCCTGGGACCACTTCTGTTCACAAAGCACGTACTCGGTCTGTATGGGTTGGGACACAGATATTTATTGCCAGCACTCTTAGGGACACTGACTGCCACGGGGACCTCGGAACAACGCGGGTTTAGTGGCTTAATGCAGCTGCTCTGCCTCCAGAGTCCAGGCTGTTGTTTTCCTACAACACCCCAAGCTGATGACACCTCCTGACAGGTGCAGAGGCCTCCTGCCCTGCCGGACGCCAGACGCCGTCTCAGAGCCCCCTGGGTCTGCCGGGCGGTGCGGAGGGCCTGACACCAACACCAGGTTCTGGCCCACGTTGGAGAGAGCTGGCTGAGCACGTGTCTCCAGACTCGCCCTAGACCTTGAGAGTGCTGTCCTAAGGAGGGGTGGGGGGGCGGCCGTTCGGAGATTGCCCGTGGGCAGGCACTCGGTTTTAGACGGGTTCGCTTCTCCGCTCCCCACCTCTTTGGCCCCTCGTCTGTCTCTCCTCTCAGCCTCCTCTGTCGGGAACAGAGGCGTCACACCGACCTTTGCCCACTGTGTGCGTTTCCTGTCACCACTGTGACACAGTGCCACACACGCAGTGACTTAAATGTTGCAAATTTATAATCTTACAATTCCAGAGGCCACAAGTCCGAAATGGGCCTCGGCGGGCTACACCAAGGTGTGGGCAGGCCAGCGCTTCTTCTGGGGGCCCCGAGGAGGAGTCTGTCCCCCCGCCTCCTCCCATCGAGAGGCTGTCGGTGACACAGGCTCACGGCCCTGTGCTCCAGCAGCCTCGACCCAGCTGTTTCTTGGGTGGCGGGCCCCAGTCTAGGCACTCGGGACACGGCCGTCACCAGAACAGGCCGGGTTGCTTCTCTAAGGAGCTTCCGCTCTAGTGGGGAAGACAGCGAGGACATATGTCAGTGAGAGCCAGTCTCAGCAAGTCTCGTAAGAAAAGCCCAGTCGTTGGCGGGGCGGGAAACTGGTGAGGGTGGGGTGCGCGCTGGCCGGCTTCAGGTCAGCGGGCCGCGGAGGCCCGAGTGGCCTATAAGCGGAACTGCTGTCCAAGTGACCGCCTTTAATGTTTGCCCCCTGGCTTCTCCCCGCGCGTTTCGGTGACTTGTCTCTGGCGTCCCTGATACCTCTGTTGGCCTCCGAAATGGGTTGCGGAAGGAAAGGAAGTCCGTTTCTCCATCCGTGGCTCAGGGGGTTAGTGAACGGTGGGAGCGCTCAAGTCCCGAGCTTGTGTTCTCAGTGGACAGCTCCACCCTGGAAGAGCTCTGCTCCCAGAGGAAGGGTGTTGGGCTGGCAGCCTAGCCTTGTGGACGCACCTCATTTGGTCGCCGTAACCACCTACGTCCGTGTAGACTCAGAACAACAAAACGCTAGTGGTTGTCATGTACTAAGTGCCAGGCACTGAGCAGAGGGGTTTACAGATGTTTTGTCATTTAGTCCTTGCAGCGGATTTCGTGAAGTGCAGCAGCCCCCCCTTACCCACTGGGGACACGCTCCAAGACCCCCAGTGGGTGCCTGAAACCACAGGTGGTACTGAGACCTACACACACTGTGTTTCTTCCTGTAACGCATGTCCATGATAAACTTTATAAGTTAGGCACAGCGAGACATTACCAACAATAATGGAGATTGAAATACGACCACTATAACTGGACAATGGACTGTAATAAAAGTTATGTGGTGCCCCATTTCAGGGGACCCCTTGCTGGAGGGGGCCCCTTTGGGCTCGGTGCTCTCTGGGGCAACACGTCGCCACCGGCCAGAGCACGTTTTCTGTTCGCATCCTCCACCCGCGGTCCAGTGCCTTCTCTGTCGTAACCAGGCCCTCACCGAGCACCGTGGCTGGACCCTCTGCAATTTGCGGTGCGACAGCAGAACCAGCACCCGTGTGTCTTTCCTTCCCCGTTCCATGGATAGAAGATTCATTCTTCTCATAACGGATCAGAGCAACCTCATAATACTTTTTTCTCTTTATTAAGTCAAGAACTTCTGTCTTTCACTTTAAGAAAGCACTTCACAGCTTGTCTTTGGCGTCTCCAAATTGCCAGCGTCACTACTCTTGTAGTTCGGGGTCATGAGTAAGTAAAGTAAGAGTTAGGTGGACACAGGCTCTGTGGCAGTGCGACAGCGGATCGGACCCAGCCGACTGCTAAGTGACGGGCGGGCGGGCCGCACGCAGAGCACAGAGACGCTGGACAGCGCGGGCGATTCCAGTCCCGGGCGGGCCGGAGCGAGATGGCACAGGTGCTGTCGTGTTTGTTAGCACAGCATGCAATTTAAAACTTACACATTGTTTATTTCTGGAATTTTCCATTTAGTATTTTTGGACCTTGGTTAACCTCAGGTCATTGAAACTGTAGAACGTGAAACCACAGCTAAGGGGGTCTGCTGTAAATATTATGTGTCTTAATTACAGGTGAGGACACTAAGGCTTAGATGAGTAAAGTGACGTCATCCAAAACCAGATGGCTAATGATAGCAGAGCCAGGGTCCCGAGTTTAGAATGTGCACAGCTCCGGCTCCTCCCTGCACCCGTGTCCGCCAGCAGGGGGCGTGATCACCGGTCTCTGGAGCAGCCCCGCCTCCCTGGCAGGCTGCGGTGTAGGAGCTAATGCTGAAACAGTAGTACCACCTCTACCGTTTATTGAGCATCTACTTTTCACGTGTTGCATGTGACATTTCATATTCACAATAGCCTTAAAAGATGGGTATTTTCACCCTCATGTTGACGATGAGAACCTGAGACTCGGGGTGATCAGTGAGTACGCAAAGTTAAGCAGCGTCTGCTTGAGGCAGACTCCAGGTCCGCTCCTGCAGAGCTCTCCCGGCCTCATTCCCTTCACCGGGAAACGCAAAGATGCAAGTCTCAGCTCCCCAGGAGGGCAGCCAAAGACGCTATCGGTGCAGGCTGACAGACCTCATACACTACACACAGCATACATTTTATCTTGTTCAGTCCCCACAGGGACCCGCATCACATGGTGGAAACCGTGGGCTCCTGTCGGTGGTGTCGTTCGTGTTGTCAGTAGCTGTACGCCCAGACCCTTGCAGTGCCAGGCTTCCCAATAAAGATGCCGACTGTGGCAGAGCCAGACAAAGTGCCGTGGGGATTGGAAGGGAAAGGGGGACGCCTGTGGTGGGGCCTCAGGGTGCACTTGCAGGGCAGCCTGGCTCGGACACTGGGCGTGCGATGGTTGGACCTGGGCTTTGGCAATGAGAAGGGTCACTGGAGAGCTCTCTGCCGTTCTCCCCAGGTGACGGAGGTTGTGTGTGAGAGGAGTAAGTTGGTCACGGGGCCAGCGGTCATTTGGACCGACTTCCCCGTCCCCTAGGACCCTGACCTAGAGCAGCAAACCAGGAAATACGCGTTGGCCTTTCCACGTGTCTCTGTGAACAAAGCTAAGCCTCTGATTCCGGTGGACTCTGGAAAGAAGTTTCGTGAGGTTAAAGGGAAAAGTCACAGAAGATGAGTGTCAGCCTGGTCAGCCACTCCTTGAGCGTCAGGAGATCCCGATTCTGCCATGACCTTCGGTGTATGTGGCCTTGGACCTCAGTGTCCTCGCCTGCAGAGCGATGCGCAGGCTGGTGTTTCTCCAGCATTTGCACGCATCTGAATCGCCTGGGGCGGGGGGGGGGCGGTCTTAAAATGAAAATGCGAGACCCCACCCCTGACTCCGTAAACCTGGGATAGATCCTGGGAATGTCCACCTAACATGTTCCGGGTGCTGCTGGTGCTGCTGGGCAGGACCAGACTTGGGGAACCCCTGGCCTCTCCTCTGAGATCTCGTTCCCTCTGTGATGCTCTGTATAAAAACTGCAGGCACAGAAACCAGGCATCCGGACCATATAGCTCCACCTCCAGCTGAAGCATGCTGCCTTGAGCGAGTCACTTGGCCTTTCCCTGTCTGCTCCTCACCAGTAACCCGGGCCTGCGGGTTCCCTGTGGCAGAGGCTGAAGGAGGAAATCAACTCGCATTTAAAATAAGCCCGTTTTGAAAGAGTATTACATAAATTGTCTATTGGGCCTATCCATGTGTGAAGTGAAGACCGCTTTGGCAGAATCCTTGGGGAAACTATAGTCTACCTCTAAAGTGAAAAAACAGTAGCAAAATGTCTCTTTTTCTCTCTTTTCTATAAAGAAAGGGAAGCTTAGTGCAAGAGGAAGGGTGCCCATGGAGAATGTGCTGAAAATCCAAATGACCTAGGAGGGACCTCAGTCTGTTTGGCAGATCAAAGTTTCCCTGCCATCTATTTAACAAATTAATAAAAAGAACATAAATAAAAGAGAATAATGACTCAGAGCTGTCTGGGCACCTGAGTCTGTGAGCCCTGTGGGGCCTTGGCACCCAAAGAGAAGGGAGAGAAAAGGCCCTTGTCTCCGAGGCCTTGAGAGTGACTCCCCTTGGGGCACTGGGGCAGCTCTGGGGGCGCTCCGAGCTGCCGGGCTGAGATGCCCCGGGCAGGAGTCTGTGATCCAATAAAGAGCCAGGAAAAAAAAATGGCTGGTGAGTGATTTCGCTCTTTCATATGGTGCGAAACGAGAAGGCAAAACACCAGAATATTCAATGAGCCAAAGCGCAAAGTGTGGCCTGCGTGTGGGCGCCGGCGACCCCTTCCCCCCCCCACCCCCCCCCACCCCCCCCCGCCGGCACGCTTCTGAGCCCGAGCGGGGCACTCTGGCTGCGGAGGCGCGTGCACACAATGGCAGGCGCGCTACACCCTGGTGACCCTTTTGTCTCTCCGATAGGCGAAGATGAGGACGAATTTGAGAATTTCATGCTGCCCCTCACGGTCTCCTTTGAAACAGTGTTACAGATGTTCAACAACAACTTTAAACAAGAAGATGTGAAGGTGGGTTTGCTCCCAAACGGGAGAAAAGACCGTCCTGTTCACTGCCGGGTGTCTAGATGCAGGGAGAGCTGCCGCACAGTTGGTTGCGTGTGCCCCGCGCCTCATCCAGCGTGCGTCCCCAAACGCTGGTGTCTTCCGGTTGTCCTTTTCCTGTAAGTGTCGGCGTGTCTCGCACAGATGGACTCGGAGACCAGCGGTGAGTTTGGGCACTCGAGATGAGATGACACGGATTTGTCTCTTCTCGGCAGCCCGTGTCTTTAAAAGAACGTTTCTCACGGGTGCACCCCTTTAGACACCCCTGCTCCCTCATCTGCCCCCCACTGCGGTTTTCAGCCTGTTCATATGGAAGAACGCACAAACGTACACACGCTCAAACACGACATCTCTAAATATTTTTTAAACAGGAATTTATATAAATCAAGACTTTATTAAATGGCTAGGCATATGTGTATAAATAGGGGCTGGTCTTGAAGTATTGCATTCTTAAGCTGAACAAAGTGATTAGGATAACTGATAGCTAAATAAGGTTTTTATGCGCCTGTGGGAGGCATATTAGGATTGATTTGACAAGTCAGTTCAGCTGTGGCAACAGTCATAATATCTAAGACAACATTATGTTTTATTAGTAAAATCCTTAAGTGCAGCAAGCTGTTCATGACAAAACAGTCCCATATTTCCACGTGGAGGATGGGGAGCGAAGGTCTGCAGAGTGGAAAGAGCGTCTTCTGAAATTATGAGGTGTCGGGGGCATGTTCAATAGATTGGCACTGATGATTATTTTTAAGAGACTAATAAACATACTCTTGAGGATTTAGGCACCTTTGTTGGTGATGTTTGAGCCATATTTTGTTGTTATTTGAAATAAGCTGACCAAAATATAAACCACCATTTCCCATGGCTCCTCTTCTCTCCACCAGAAAACAAAAACAAAAGCAAAAAAAAAAAATAGCCGTAAGAAGCCAGATAGAAAAACCATCACCCTTTGACGATTATTTTAGGATAGTTCTACCAAAAAATAATTAGCCAAATACTGTACTTTGTCATTTGAAATAAAGTTTTTGAAATGAGCATTTCTCAACACTCAGTAGTCACAGAATTTTAAAACCAAAAGGGATTGTAGAGATTTTCTGTGTGTTCATAGCCTTGCTGAGATTCTTCACCAGAGCTTCCATTCAGACTAGCTGTGAGTTATAGGCGTCTCACAAACATCCCTACTGACCAGCCAGGTCTTTGCAGCTCTAAGGTGGCTATTGCTGTCCTTGATGCCAAAAAGAAGCGAGGTTGAAAAAAACCATTTTATAAAAATTACATTTGTCTCATTTGAAGATTTCATTATACTCCAAGCCCGTTTTGATATGATCCCATCTAGTTTGATGGAAACCATCTTCCTGGAGTCATTTTTAATGGAGTTCCAGTGATATATCCCTAAACCAGCAAGTTCTTAACGACCCTGGAAAGTGACTGCTTGATTACACTTTAACGGTATTTGCAAATAAAATCACAAGTAATTAAGGGGAAATCTCCAGGCTTTTGAGCAAGTTTGATGCATGATAACTGCCTGATTCAGCTTCATCTAGAGTAATGCTGTGTAGGCAACAGCTACTGAGATCAATAGCAACGTAATGATAGTGGCAGAATTAAGTGAGTAACCTGAGAACTGTGCCGCAGAATGCATGCAGCTGCCACGAACCAAGGCCACACAGTGCACTCCCTGCTTCCGTCCTAAATGTTCATCAAAAGACGCCCTGCAGGAAAATGGAGTTAGATGCTCTTTATTGCTGATCGTGTCTCTTGCCACATTTATCAGGGAAATTGGATTAGCAGTTGGCAGCTGCAGGTAGACAAGATTCTGCAGTGATTAAATATGCAGCTTGGCTGCATTTGTTGTGACAGACCTTTAGTAAATTCTACTGTAAGCACCATCTGTCTAATTTGTATAAAGAAAACTTGGTGCTCTGAGCTACCAGTAAGGAACTAAATCTGTTGCTTTATCATAAACAAAACTTTTGCACTAAATGCTTTTAAATGTAATTTATTAGGTTAAGGCTATTTTTCTATCACGATGAATAAATAATACATGCAAAAGTGCTTTCAGGTACTTCATTTTGCAAGTACCAGAGATAAAAACGGTTCTGTTTTGTTCTTCAATAAAGTATTTAGTATTCCAATCCACAGGAGGTGACGCTGTTAAAATATCTCTATGAAGATGCCTCAGGACTGCCATATTCATTTAATTTGCAACCCTTCCCAAGATTTCCTAACTCCCTATTTACAGACATTTCTCAAATGCAGATTTCAGGACGAACATAAACATTAAGGACCTGTGTTGCCAAAATGAAATATGGTTGTGAGGGGAGGAGATGGTGCAAAACTCTGAAATTTATGGCTTTGTTTTCTTACTTAGTCCTAACAGAAATGAAGAGAACATTGAATTTTTGTGTCGGGTTTTTCTCTTCAAAGGAAAGGGGAAGAAGAGGGAAAATGCTGGGACAGATCCCGGCTCTACAGCATTCGTGCAAAATATATGTTGTTCCCGCGTAATTGTATCCGTGGTGAGATACAGCCCAGTTGCCCCCGGCTCATGCATCATTTTTGATGTGGCCATGACGTCACCGGTTTTAAGGAAAATGAATGAAAACTTCTCAGAGGAAGAGGAGCAGTTAAATGGGAGCCTGCTATATTTAGTCCCTCCGTATAAACGCCACAATGTTAAATTATTTAAAATCCTTGATTTTCAGCATGCGCACATTAAAAGTTTTCGCACTAAGTGCCAAATGTTGCAAACAGCACTTTAACAGAATGATTTTGCTTTGATCCCTGTAGCAGTTCCTGAATAATTTATCACAGGTTATTGCCTTAATTCTGGAGAGGGATAGAGCAATAAAGGCAGATGAAAACACTCCAGTTGAAACACCTTGGGGCCGGCTCATTCCTCTGACACGGCTCTTTTGTTGGAACTATTTAGAGGTTATTAAGATGTGTCTCCAGAATTAAGAGTATGCTTTAAGGATGAAGACAGCCATCTTAATTCTAAAGACAAAGCACAATGACCCTTCACCTTCTTCTTCTTTGTTGTTATTATACCGTAGAATTATGAGGATAATATTATAGCTGCCCCCAGTAGTGCCACTACCGTAAAGGGTCTGTCAGACTTTCCATTAGAAACCCTGTTTTGGGGGTCAGGGTGGAAGGAGCCGCATCTCAGCTGGTTCCCAGCCCATCCGTCTCCCGCTTGGCACACAGACAAGTGCTCGCCAGGCCGCGGACTGCGCCAGTGAGCGGCTTCTCCTCGGGCCACCCAAGGGCACCCGAAAAGGAAGCCACGGGGCCGGGCACCCCAGGGCCGCCCCGCCCCCCAGGAAGCCTCGCTGGAAATACAGTGACCGACCGCTCACTTTTCACACCAGCCCAGCCAGTCCAGCGCTGGCCAGCCGCAGGAGAAGGGCAGCTCGTTCAAATAAACCCGTCTGTGCTGTTGTAAGTGAGATGGTAAATTGGGGCTCCTTCCCAACGCCCCCCCATTTCAGCCGGATCACCCGCCACTCTCTGAGGTGGTTCGGAGCTGGCTGAGCTCCCAGAGAGCGGGTTTCCCGTCTCACCCCGGCGCTGGGGATGTGTTGGCTCCCGGGAAATCGCGTCGAGTTTCTGTCGAGCTCATCAGGGCGCTCTGGCTGTTCTGAGATAGAAGACCCTGTCTGAGCACAGGGAACCGCTTCTCACGTGCTCGCCGCATTCTCCTGCTCAGTCAGACCTGCTGAAAACATGCATTTAATTATTACTTCCTAATGCTTACGCTGCTCTGGAGTGACGTTTTCTAAAATTAGACATTCATAGATTTTCATAGATTTGAGTCCATTAGAGCATGTCAACTAACTCGGCGTCTTTTAAGGAAGAAAAATGCTTAATGAAATAAATATTAGCATGTCTGTGTAATGAGGGTGGTCTAAAATACTGGAAGAATCCTTTGCACTTGGTACAAAGAAGGTTAACTCTCGGGTCCTGTTGACTAATTCAGAGTGCAATGGCGGGGGCCGCTTGTACAGGAGAACGTAAGATTCTTTGGAGAGTAGCTGGTGACCTGTGAGCACACGTCATAAAAGTAGACCAGAAAGGCCACTTCGGTAGGAGAACTGCAGAGCTGACGAGTCAGAACAGAATTGCTCGAGGAGGCTTCTTAGGAGACCTGTTCTGTTCTGGAGGCTGTGAGACAGAGGGGAACAGGCGCCAGGTGGTGAGAGCAGGTTGAATAAAAGGCAAAGTGGTTTTTTTAAAAAATAGCAGGTCACGTGAGAGAACTAGACAGGAGACCAGCCGGTCGCAGAGAAGCAAGGACTGGCGAGACAGGGGAGAGACTTATTCTTTGTAGGTCACGTGGAGAAACAAACAGGTATCCGGGGTTTAACAGATTCAGAAATTCACATAACCATCACTCTGTAAACGGTGGGCATCAAAGCTGAGTGTTTTTATAAACACCTTCCAGTGGTAATGAGTCACCTCACAGGTGGGTGGCGGAAGGATCGCAAGTTCAGATGCCCCGACAGAGAAACTATTATTTGGTGCTTTGCAGTGTTAGTCAGCCATTAAGCTGGGGGTCGTGATTCACTTCCAAGTCCTTAATGATAATTTAAACACCTTCCTAAAGAGGTTTTCATTTATTACCAGAGCGTGAGGAGCAAGGAAATCTGGTCAGATGAGAAGTTCAGAAGCTATTTTCCGGCAAACTGTGCTACTGAAACAGTATCTTCAGAAATCACAGTTGCTCCCCTCAATTATCCCACCCCCTTGTCTTGCAATTATGTTTATTTGTGCTCTTTGTTCTGACATTCCAGCATCTGTTGGTGGGTTTCATTTTTCTCTTCCCAGGCATCATCCTAAGGACAGCTTAATTAAGCATCCAGAGTACCAAGTCAGAGCTCTTTAATTTTAGAGTCAAATTTTTGTTTTTCTAAAACTAAATATCTGTGGAACATTTAGCATGTATCACGCTCTTGTTCGGCATTTTTACATCAATTTATTCAATGTACCCTCCACAATGCCTCTGTGAAAGAGGTATTATCAGCCCCTTTTATAGATGAGAGAAACTGAGGCTGATAAATTGCCCTGCTTTAAGACTTACATTTAAAAAGTGAAGCTGGAATTCAATATCAGGTCTTCTGGCACTGACTGTGGGACTCTTCCTTACACCTTCTTCTTGTGTTCTTGTTTTTGTTTTTGCTCGGGGAATATGAGTACCCTAAGCATATCATGGTGCCAGTGGGTCACGTGGGCAGTTGTCTCTTGTCCTGAGTTACTCGGGATTTTCCTTAGAGATCTTTAAATGCCGCTGTGCTTGCACAGTGGGCTTCAGGCTGCATGGTGGGGCTGGTTCCGTGCAAGCCAGTGTCGTTAAGATTTGCTGTGACTGAATAATGTCTAGACTGTGTGCATTTCTGTCTCATGGAATTACCAGTCCTTTTTTCCCCCCTATTTTGGCTTTAAAATGTATTAAGCATCTGCGTGTTCCTACACTGTTAGAATTGTGACTTAGCTCAGTTTGCAAGGATCAAAGCAGAGCTGGTCAGCAGATCTGAGGTCTGTCTGTTTGAAGGGTCTACGTTTTTCTGCAGAAAAGGCTCTGAGCGAGACATTTTAGCTAATGAATCAAAATCAGATATGTGGTCATTATTGCCTGATTATTACTCCATCTGCTCCGTGCTAACGTGAAAATCAATTACTGTGTCTCTTCCCCACTGACAGCGTATGTTGATCGGGCTGGCAAGAGACCTTCGAGGGATTGCCTTCGCGCTGAACACAAAGACCAGCTACACCATGCTGTTCGACTGGATGTATCCTTATTACACTGTGACAATACCAGCTCTGTGCACAGAGGGACGCCAGGCCCCTCGCTCTCGTTTAATAGTATGGCACAGTGGGGAAGAGGAAACAAAGCTAAATGAACTAATGTGTAATCAGCTAAAAATTACAGCACAGCGGCAGCGGTGCAGATAACTGAGCGTAGCATTTGGAGACCCGGCTCAGAGAGGTCACTTTCTCGGTGCCGTTAAATGTTGACAACTTAAAAATCCCGTCCCCAGATGAGTGTTTGTGTCAGGGTCGAGGGATAGTCGGGCTAACATCTTTGACTCAGGACCAGCGAACTCTGGCGTTTGGTGTCTTGAGGAGATTTGGATTTCTCCTCCATCTTAATTAGCAGGACCGAGAAGGTCACTTTATCTCTTTGAGGCTTAATTCATCATGCCCCAGTTTTTCAGCATCGTGAGAACATCAATGGACGCGGAGAGCGCGGGGAGTGAGTGGTCAGGACCTTCCGTTTGGTGTACGAGTCTGCCTTTGCCAAGGCCCAGTGCAGGCAGCCAGACAGACAGACAGACAGACAGACATGTCCCACAGAAGTGTCTCATCACCTGAGAGTGAACAGAACTTGGATTTGGGCGTCAGAAATCCAAGTTCTTCACTGTTACGGGAGCCCTGGCAAGTCACTTACCTTCTCTGAGCCCCGGTGTCCCCGCCCGGACACGGAGACAGCCAGTGTCCTGGCTCGTTGTGACCATTAGACCAGCTGACTCTGTGTACGGTCTGCAGCGTGTTGGACAGTCTCCGACGGCGGTTATTCAGATCGCTTTAATGGTGTATATGAACCTTCTTTGACCCTAACAGGAAGCGACAATGTAGGCGAGTCGTGTAAGTGTTATGTAAGCTCTTCATGCCTTTACACATGAAACCATCAGAGCGCGTAAGAAAAATTCTAAAGCTTTAAAGCTGTTATAGTTTTCAGTTGCACCATTCCCCAGTTGCTCTTTTCAAACCCTTCTTATCCAAACTTCCCCCATAAATTGTAAAAGAAACTTTTTAAGGCAATCTACAACAGTTATGGCCCCAAAAATAACTAACTAGGAACCTGATGTGTTTTAGAGAGAACGTTATATATATATTTTTTTAATTTTTAACATTAACTTGAATACTGACTTACATTTTACTATTAAAACCACTTCATCAGATTTATGTGCCCAGATTAGGGTTAGAGCCCTGGCTGGTGTGGCTCAGTGGATTGAGCACCAGCCTGTGAACCAAAAGGTCGCTGGTTCGATTCCTGGTCAGGGCACATGCCTGGGTTGCGGGCCAGGTCCCCAGTTGGGAGTGGAAGAGAGACAACCAATTGATGTTCCTCTCACACATTGATACTTCTCTCCCTCTCTTTCTCCCTCCCTTCTCTTCTCTCTAAAAATAAATAAAATATTTTTTTTAAAAAAGAAGGGTTAGAGACAATGTATCGTGTCACTGAGGAAGCATGTGCATCTTTCGATCACCAAACAAAGTGTATTTCCAGAGATGGTAGATTTCAGTGTGGAGAAGAGTCATGCAGCTCTTTAAACTGTGAACGATACACGGGATCACATATGACCCTCTTATTTCTCTAAACGGAAATAGCTCATGCAGTAAGACTTTCATTTCTTTGAGAAGTCATACAATCCTAGTTCTGGCACTTCAGAATGGACAGTGACCTTGTGACCAAGCCATGGCTCTCGGGTGCCCAGCAGTCAATGTTGCGTGTCTCCCTCCACAGTCAGGACCAAGAGTCAGTGTCACAGAATAGAAAGATCTTCCATAACTGGCACTGCCTGAACCTCATAGAACACAGTGCAGTTTGAGTGTTTAATTAAGGCTGTTTTCCATCGCCTGACGCAGCTCCTTCTTCCTGGCACCTCTGTACAGTGAGACTTTCGTCCAGCAGGTGGCAGAAAATGGCAAACAGAAAACCTTGGGACAGTGCTCTGCTTCAAACCAGAAGCCATTGTCTCCCCCGTCTGACCACAGACGTGGACACGGCCAGGGTGCGGGCGCAGGGCGGGGCGTCTGTCACGCAGGAAGTTGGGCCAGGTCGCCCGACGGGCGGCGTGGTCCAGGCCTTGCTTATAATAATTGAGTTTCAGGAGCAAATCAGCTTCCTTGGGAGAAGGCCAAAGGCTTTTCATAATTGTATTGACAACAAAATGAATATGATAAATGGTGTTCATTCAGTGGAGACAAGATTTATAGTTTTCCTTTGGGCCAGGGATGAAGAGCGAATATTTATAATAATAGTAAAATTTGTTTAAAAGTTACATTATTTGATCATTCAAAAAGCTTTATTAAAATATTTCGAAATACTTTAAGCAGTTTCAGGTGATAAAGTACAGATTCTTTTCAAAGTATTCTAGTAATGTAAAAATGAATAAGTATATGATTAAAAAAAACATGGATATGAAAGTCATTTATTCTTCCTGAAATATTGATATGTCAAAACGTCAGTGGTGATTCCCACATTACTGCTGGGGAAGGTTTATTTGCCTTTTATCCCCATAAACGTGCGTCCTTTAATTTGCGGGACCGTCCTTGGCACGCGGAAGGAGCATCCTGTAAGAGCACGTGTCATCTCCCCGTCAAAATGCATTTTATTTATGGTGATTATTTGACAAAATGCTATTTTAGCGGTTAGCTATTTAATTCAAAAACACTTCTATAAATACTGACTGCATTAACTGCCACACAAACTACATGGCTCATCACTCTGTCCTTCCAAAACTAAATTGCCTGAAACTACACAAGCAACCGTGTTGATAAATTGTTCCCCTACTGGAGAACTGAAGAAGAATCATTGATACACTTCTTTGCTCCTGTAGTGAGAATGCAACCATACAAAAGCACCTTATCTTACAGCATATTAAGTCACCTCGTTTAAACTTTCCCCAGATCATATTTAGACTCAGGTGTCAAAAATCCAAAAGGAAATAGAGAAAAAAAGCTATAGAAATGTGTATGACGCTATTTCTAGCTGGTGTTTTAATGGTCATAGTCTGACCTTTAGGTCCACTGCTTTCCAGTCAAGCAGTTGTGGGTATTAACACCCATCAGAGCGTACAGAGATGGGGCGAGACGAGGAGCTTGGCCGGCGAGCACACGCTCTGGGATAGGGTCGTCGTAGACTCCGTTCCGGTTTCGCCACGAAACAACTTGTGAGCTCCTGGGTGAGCCACGCAATGTCTTGGAGTCACAGTGTTCCATTCTGCAGAGCAGGGCTAGCAACGCCTGTCGCACAGGAGTGTCGTGAAGCGAGTGAACTGACGTACTGAAGGGGCCCAGGACAGCGTCTGGCTCAACGTACCTGCTCTGACGCTGTCATTGTAGCTCCGTCCTCTGACAGCAGTGAGACAAAGGAGTGCATTTGTTCCCTCGCCCAGCAGACTTTGCTAAGGGCTGTGTCAGGTTTTGTGAAGGACAAAGATCACTTCGGATCAAATCCTACCCCAAAAGGAGCTTACGGTTCATGACAGATAGACCTGGTTAGCTACCTGCATAAATGACTATAACAAAATATAAAAGGTGGTAAGTGCCTTAAAGATACAAATGGAGGGATTGCATTTAGCTGGGGAATCAGGAAAGGCTCCGTCAAGGTGAAGATTTGTTTTTTTGTGTGTTTTGGATCTTACCAAAAACGCAGAATCGGACCATGGGAACTGCACAGTCAGATCTTTCCAGTTGGCCGGGACTCGGTCTCAGGAAGGGGGATAGTGGGGAACAGTTACAGATGCTGCTTCCTTCGTGGTTGGAAATGCAGGTTGTCTGGAACCCTCGAAACCGTCAGGCTGAGGGATGTAGACCCTTACTCCATAGACAGCGTAAAGCAACCGATTGCTTGGATTGACTGACAATCAGAATTCAGTTTTAAGAATGAGGTGTAATGATCAATATGTTGGACAGACCGCCACAGGAAAGGAAGGAAGCCTGAAAACTCACTGTTCCACGCGCATTTTTTTTGAGTGCTCTGTGCCAGGCATGAGGCATGAATAAAAGGATCGCTCTTTACAAGAACGGACACAACCGATTGCTCTGCGGAAGCTCCCAGTCGAGTGGATATATAACCAGTAGCTGATCAGCAGTCAGCGCGTTCTAACAGCAGTGTGTGTAAAGGACCACGGGAGCCCGTGAGAGGAGGGGACATTGGCCCAGGTGCCGAAGACGGGCAGGCGGGCGCTGGCCGGGCGGCAGGGAGCGGCCCGGCCCCGGCCCTGGCAGCGTTCCCCTGCAGGAACAGAGCGTGGCCAGGTCACATCCACGGGCGCCTCCAGAGTAAGCTCGAAACTGGCAGGCCCCTGCTGTGCCCACGTCCTCACGCCTAGCCTCCTGCCGGGTTCAGCAGAAACTCTTTTGTCGTCTTCTGGTGTACTGCGATGCTTTCTCTGTTGTGAAGGTCCAGAGGGAAAGAATCACGATTTTACTCATTTTGGGGGGGGAGTGCTGGGGGGTGGGCACATAGTATAGTAAGTACTAATCGCTACTGGACGGACGGGTGGGTGGATGTTGTCCAGAAGCGAATCTCACATACTTCCCATTTTCCTTTGTGTTGGGCATCTTACACGGTAATATGTCTGTGATGCTTTTCGTTGTCCGCTCATCTGACGCAGACCTGGGGCATTCATTGAGAAGATCTAGGCGAAGGTGGTTAGAGTCCGGCCCTCCTCCCTGAGGGCCGCCGAGGCCTTCCTCCTGTCCGTGTGTGTGTGCACGGTCCTCGCGAGCCCGCGGGCAAGCCGAGAGCGGGCTCTGGTTCTCGCCCTGTGATCTAAGCCTGGCTTTCTCTCTCCGCAGCCTCTTAACCTCCCTGCTGCGTAGGTCTGCGCTCCGCTCTCCGCTGTCCCTCATTTTCCCTGTGGCAGTCCCCTCTGTCGGGAGCATGTGAGAACAGCGCTCACCCCGCACAGGGAAGGCAGCCCCCCCTCCCCCGCAGGTCCCCCGGCCGGGTCTCACGGTGAACGCACTGTGCTCTGAAAAACAGGGTGGCCCTAATGCCCGTGGAGCGCCTAGCACAGGGGCCTTCGATTCTGACTTTTGGGTCTTTCCAGTGTCCTGATGAGCCTCCCAGGTGCTTTCCCGCTCGTTGGTCGCTGAGGGTGCGCTCGCGAGGCCTCTCAGCGGAATATGTTCTCGCCCTGGCTCCTCTGGCGCCGCCTTGGGGTTCCGCTGCTTGGAGTGTCCCTGCCGCGTGTCCACCGTCCAGACGTGAGCACGAATTCCCCACGGATGAAGCCGCGGCTGGCTTATCTCTAGATCCCTGGCCCCCCGCGTAGTACCTGGCACATGGTGTCTACCGTCGATCAGAACTAACAAATTTTCTAGTTGATAGGGAAGAATAGTCAATTATATGACAACAGCCAAAATAGAGTTAATAATCAAGTTCATTGACTTTAGTTTTTCCATTCTTTTTTTAAACATTTTATTTCTTTGTTTTTAGAGAGAGGGGAAGGGAGAGAGAAAGGGAGAGAAGCATCAATATGTAGTTGCTTCTCATGCGCCCCCTACTGGGCACCAGGCTTGCAACCCAGGCCTGTGCCCTGACTGGGAATTGAACCAGTGACCCTTTGATTCGCAGGCTGGCACTCAGTCCACTGAGCTACACCATCCAGGGCAGTTTTTCCATTCTTATTCAACTGAAATCTCACACTCACGTACATACTCACCACTTATCTCCCATCTCTGCCTGATTTTCCTTTCTGCTACTTTCTAACAGATTGCCTATCTAGTTTGTTTATTTTCTGTCTTATTAGACTCTAAAGTCTGTGAGGGTAGGGATTTTTTAAAATGCTTGGTTCACTGGTGTCTCCAGAGAGTCTAAAACAGCAAACACAGTTACAGAATAGGCCTTCAGTAAATACTTGGGTAAATTGTTTTACTATAAGCAAATGCCGCCTTGAACATGGTATGTCTTAGGGAGATAAAAATATTGCTTTTTGTACTTGTAAGGAGCATGCTACTCTCAGCCAGTGGCGGGCTTGTTTTCATTGAATGTTGTTTCCTGAAGCGTCAAAGTAAAATACACAGTTTAAAAGAATTAAATAGATAGCTCTATGCAGATGTGCGACGCCTCATTTTGAGGGCGACAAGTTTACAGCAACAAACACGTGCTGACGTCGACTCCTTGGCAGGCCCATGCACACAGGAGCGTGGGATGTAGCAGATAAGGTGCTGCCATAGTGCTAGATGCGGTACCATAGCCACGCACAGGAGACACACCTCACCCACCCTGTGCTGTGTGTGTGCGGGGGCGAGGGGGCCGGGGTCGTGGAGGCCTCATAGGATAACTGACGTCTGTCTTGGAATGTGGGGGGCAGACGGGAATTAGCAGGGACGTGGTAGGGGAGCACAGGTCACCTCGGCCCCGCAGAGACTCACTCTCCGATGGGCAGGCAGGAACACAAGCGACCCACCCTGATACGGTTTGTTAGGGGAGATGCTATGAGCGTTAGGCAGAGGCCGCAGCAGCCCGCAGAGGAGGGAGATAAGAGAGTGGGCGACCGGATCTGCAGGGGACTGCGGAGGGCTGGGCCTCGGTGGGCGGGAGCACTGAGAAGGCCTCGGTGACCTGCTAAGGAGTCGGGCGTTCATCCCAAGGGCAGGGAAGGAACGTGGGATCTTCTCCACCAGGGAGGTCTCTGCCTGTATCCCACAGAACGCCGTGAAAAGGTTCGGTTCAGCACTTGACCTGCAGCAAAAAGGCGAGCACATCCGAAAGGGTCAGAGAGAGAGAGAGAGACTTGGGGACCAGGAAGAGAGCAAGGAGTGAAGGCGGTGGCGCGGCGAGAGTTTTCTCTGCTGCAGGTTAGGCCTCACCTTCATCTGTGTGTGCCCACGGGGCAAGGAGCAGGCTGGTCGTGGGCTCCGGGGCCAGTGGAGCCGAGTCACTGTTCCGGGGCCCGATGGTCCTGGCCAGTGACTCCTGGAGGCACACACTCCTCGCTACTGATGAGGACCTTTGGGAGTTTCTCCCTGGCGCGTGGGCATGGGGCGACCTGGGGAGCCACGCTGAGCAGGTTAAAAGTTACCCACAGGTTTTCCCCAAGTTAACATCCCCGCTGTTCTTCGGAGCTCTGGCCGGTCCAAGCAGAACACGTCAGCGACTTGGAAAGAAGAGAATGCGTATAATTTCTAAGCTTGGAGATGGGTACATGTGGTTTGTTGTTACCATTTCCCTCTCCTTTGATGTATTTTTAAAATTTCAGAATGAGCGACATCATTCCTTAAGTAGTTTGATACCCAAGAAAGCCTGGTAAGGATAACAATTAAAATATGTTTTTATCCTCATGAACAAAAATTCATTTTTTCTGCAATATTAAGTGCAATTCTTTAACTGGGTTAAAGAATTAACCCAGATACTTCCCTGATACTTTATATATTTTATTTATAGAGCATGCCGAGAATAAAGCAAGGTCAAGGTCAAGGTCATGGGTCAAGGTATGGGATACGTTACAAATAAGAGCACATCATTTTCAGTCTCGGAAGCATGCAGCTGCACAGGTTATGGAGAGTGGGTTATAAGACTGCCGTTGTGGGCAAACCATAGAGCAAGTGCGGGCTCCTCCTTTTTCTTCTTAAGCAGCACTTTCCAGAGCACCATTTCTCGTGAGCCTTAAATTCTTTAACAGGCTTTGTGACAGGTACCCCACCTACCTCCCCCTCCTTCAGCAGGCTGTGGAACGGTGGTACGGAGAGCCGGCGTGCACCACGCCCATCTTAAAACTGATGGCCGAACTGATGCAGAACAGGTAAGAGGTGCGGCGGGGAGTGAAGCCCGTCTCTTTGGCGGCGGCCTGCCGAGATCAGAATGTACTTACTGCTTTATGTGTGTATAACCAAGGCTCACCACGAACCCGGGGGCCAGAGCAAGATGATCAGTGGTAGCAGTAGAATTAGAGACGTAAACTTAGTCCTTTTGGGGGAAAGAACATGGCATGCTTCCGTGTACATGGAAGCTGGAAAAAATTAGAAGACCACAGCCACCCTTCCTTAAAATAATCAAAGGCACGACACGGAGGAAGGGCAGCCGGTTTTACCGTTTCCCTGCTTACCTGCGACTCTGGAGAACCTGAAAGCAGGAGAGAAGTCTAGAGGTGTCGGGGTGGAGATGCTTCATTTCGTGGGAAGGGAGCAGAGGCCCAGAGCAGGTCAGGGCCCAGTCTGTCTCAGGAGCCCTGGGAATATCCTTGCTTTGACTTCTAACGAATCTCTCTTCCTCTGCGCCAGGGCGCACGGTAGGTGGATGATTTATGCACTCGAAATTTTTATTTCAATAGCAACTACAATACTTCCCAGGAATTGCCTGGCTGACCTTATAATTTGCATAGACCAGCAGAGATTCAATAACTCTGCGCATAAATACTAACAAAGATGTAGCCAAAAGAGAAAAACTGGCAATAAGCTAATTGGTTTACCTCTTTAAAATAATGTCATTGTGAATGTGGCTCAGCACCAAATTACCTGTCACTGAGCCCTCCTGTGTCATCAGCTGCTCTTTGTAAACCGCGGGCTGGAAGGGCGGTGCTCAGGCAGGAGCGTGGACGGCAGCTCCAGTGTTCTCTCTGGTGCTGCGTTTCTCCGGCAGTGAGTTTCAAATTTTTAAAACAAGAGGTGGAAAAATACCTGGCACATAAGTAACTGTGAGTATTATTCTTTTGAAAGCTGTTAGGGTTTTTTTTAACCATTTTCATAGGTTACTTAAATACTAAGGGAAACATAGCTATGCATTTTACATCAGGAATTTAGTTTTTATTCAGTTACAGTGTTTTCAGCCAGATAATTGATACTGTATATTGCTGCTGTGATATTTAATGCGAAAGGAAAAACACTGCATCATATGTTGTGCAGTATTTTATGTGAGCACAGGCTGGTAATTTATCTAGCTCAGTTGTTTTAGCAGCTGCCTATTGATATCTCAGAAAATGTGTCACCTTGTCTGTGTTTCTCTAGAATCTAATGTCAATTATGTGTGTACATTTTTAATCGGGAATAATATGCCAACAGTCGGAAGTCCACAGTAACATTTCTGATAAGTTGTAACTGAACTGGGTCCCAGAGCATTTTGAGAAAGCGTGGGACGGTAGCACTGCAATCTGCTCCCAGCTGACAGTCAGCGCTCTAGCCAGTGTCTTTGCTTTTCCATACGTCCTCGGCCTGATTTCTTATTTTTGCTGATTCTCTTAGAAATCCATCCTTTCTTGAAAGCACAGTGGGAAGGCATGTTAGAACCCACTAAAGCCAAAGCGAGGTCGGAAAAGCCGATAGTGTGTCAGGGTGGCGCGTCCTCTGTTCCGTCCCTGCGGCCCTGCCCTGTCGGGAGCCGGCGGCGGAGGAACCGTCCGCAGGCGGAGCTCCTGGGGTGTGCCGCGCTCCCTCCTGGAGCTGGGGCCGTGGAAACCGCCGCAGTCTGTGTGGGACTTACCGGGTTGGAAATGCGCCTGAAGTGTCAGGTGGAGCATTACGCAAATGTGTGGTCTTAAAGGTACCTCGGTTTCCTGTCTCTTTAGAATCTGTTTTCAAAATGTGTAGCGGGGACAGGAGGAGCTCTCAGATGTAAATCTGTCCAAGTATCTGCATAAACTTGCACGTACACACCTGGGGTTTTATGTTACTACCTATCAACCACTTTGCATGAAAGGAGAAGGGCGTTGTGATATAGGGTGTCAGGATATTGTTTCAACAGATACAAAGTGAATTCTTTGATTCAGCATATAAGTAAAAATAACTTTTCTTAATTGTTTTAGTGTCTTTGTAGTGAGAAAATTAGCGTATGTTAATGGAATAGCACTTTTAAAAAGGGCTAATTGTACTATCGCTACTTCTAATAAATGGAAATGCTAGGCATTTTAAACCTATATTGGGTTTCTTTTTCTGCATGGGTAGTCTAATTTTTTGCTGTATTTCTTAGATCCCAGCGTTTGAATTTTGATGTATCATCTCCTAATGGAATTCTTCTCTTCAGAGAAGCTAGTAAAATGATTTGCACTTATGGTGAGTATCTTTTTCCATATTTGTCTCTGCAATATAACTTTATCTCTTTGGAGGAAAGAAAGATGTTAGTTATTTTGTTATTTTGAACTTCATATCTGTATGCATTTGCGAAGTGGGTAACCGGAGTGCAAAAAGCCAGGTAGCTGTCACATTGGCGTCGGGAGAAGTAGGCAGCCTGCCCCTGACTGCAAATCATTCCTGACCAACTTGATGAATTTCTTTTGAATAAAACTGCAGTGTCAGTGGGCACAGGGAGTATGTACACCTGGTAGAACAGGGAACAGTTCTGGCATATTCAAAACTGCTAAAAGTCCCGCCAGGCCGTCCGCTGTCTCAGGTGGAGGAGCGCCTAGACCAGGAGGTCACCGGCACTGAATTCGGGGGAAATGTCCTGGTGACGAGCAGTAAATGCTGCACTATAGGGACTTTGGGGCATCACAGCGCCCGGAATCGGAGTTCGACAGACTGTCCTACTCAATTACAGGGAAAAAAAATTGGGGTAATAGCTCACAGTGGGCCTTAGAACTACCGTCAACCTTCATACTCACCTACTCTGACAGCGTCATCAATGAAATTCTCACCGCCGAGGCTTTTCGGGGGGTGGGGGGATGAGGCGCTGGCAGGACGGACAGGAGTCCCTGTGCCCTGCTGGCCGCGCACTGACCAGGCACCCAGCCCAGGCCGGCCGTGCAGGGCGGGCCCTTCCCCGGGGGCGTTTCCTGTGCCTCTGGGACTCGGTCTCTCCTCTCTGCCTGTCCCGTGCTCCCTTCCCCGGCAGTGGCCAGCTCCACGTACGTGTGGTCTCAACATGGCCTGTGATTTTCGTAGATCTTTTTGAGTGCCTAGAGACAGATTTTACAAAATTTTGTAAAGCCTCTTTAGTGTGTGTGTGTGTGTGTGTGTGTGTGTGTGTGTGTATGACAGAGAGAGAACAACCATTAAAAGCATGTTACTTTTTTAAAAATCCCATTTTTTAAAAATATGGCAGAAGAACTGTTGTTTTAAAATTTTTTACATTAATTCAGAATATAGGTGGAACTTAATCAACAGAACAAACAAGCAAGCGAAATATAACCTGAGACATTGAAGTAAATAACAAACTGATAGGAACCAGAGGGGAGGGGCAGGGTTATGGGGGAAAGGGAAGGAAAAGGACCCTTGGACAAAGCCAACGGAGTGGGGGGACAGGAGGGCGGTGCGTGGAATGGGGACAACTATAGTTGAACAATTTTTAGGAAAGAATGTATTCTGAGTCTCTGATATGTGTGCATTAGAGGCTTCTGCTTGGAATGCCCAGTTTTCACTGTGCAGTTGATTTTACAGTTGAAGGTTGCGAGTGTACAGAAACTGCAGAAATCACCTAATTCAAGTCAGTAAACTTGCCTGCCCTTATTTTCGTCTCTGCCAGCAGCTGCGTTGCCACAGCTTTCGCATCTCTTGACAATGGGATGTTAGGGTCATGTAAGCAGAATGCTTTGCCGCCTAATGGTTAAAATGGACCCCTTCTAAAATATTCTCAGGACGGTTTGCCACGCTTCTGTCTGTCTGTCTAACTCCTTGTCTGTCTAACTCCTGTCAGCATCTGGTCATACAAAGATACATGTCTGGGCCTTTTCCCCAAAGCCTGGGACCTTAGAAAAAGCATAGTTTTGGGGATTAAAAGGTCTGAGTACCAGCCCTGATGAACTCCGTGAGCTTCACCGAAGACACTGTGCCTTTTTGTGCCTGGTTCCCTCATACACTTGAAAATGAGGACTCCAGGTGTCCCTCCGTGCCTGTGGGGCACTGGCTCCAGGGTCCCCCTCGCATACCAAACCCCTGACTCTCCAGGCCCGTGCAGAGCACGGCGCGGGACCTGCATGCCGGCTGCAGCAGGGCCTGCCTCCCCCCAGTTCATTCCCATGGACTCAGCATGGTGCCCGGTGCGTGGCAGATTCTAGGTTTGCGTTCTGGAATTTTCTGAGGTGGTTTTTTCCAGTGAGTTCAGATCTGTAGTTGACCAAACTGCAGGTGCAATGCAGAGAGAGAGCCGACGGTAGTGAACAGTAGCTACTGACCTACCTGCCCAGGTCGCGGGCGCGGTGGTGAGCGGAGCCGCCCTGGGTGGAGGGCTCGGCTCGGGCTGCGGCGCTGGACGCCGCCCACTGCAGCGCCTCCCTGGGGTGCCCTCGCGCGCGCGCAGGGCCGGCTCTCTCTGCACGGGGTGCACGGCCGCCGTCGTCCCGGTTTTGTTCACGGACCCCTCATACTTGGACCCCACTGCGCAGCCCCCTTCCGCCCGTGACAGGGGCTGAGTTTCCATTTCTTCTCTTTTTAAAAGGAAATAGCATTTTTCCATCATGAAACGATGCGTGTGTATGAATTTCCTTTTTTGAATGTCTCAGTAGGCAGTGGAGCTGTGGCTGTGTGAATGGTAGAGCCCCGTTACCAGTCACGATCGTGTCTTCCATCTCCCTCCTCTGCATCTAGTTCGCTCCACCAAGCACAGTCTGTCCTCGGCGGTTCCTTCGTCGGCGCAGGGGGCGGGAGGGAGCAGTGGCCTCCTCCTCGGGCGCTGTTCCTGGACGTCTAGAACAGAAGAACGGGTGTCCAGCAAGGGACGTCCAGGCGATCTCAGAACAGTGCCACACCCACAGGCTCCCAGGGCTACCCAGCCCTCCGTCTGGGGTTCTGTCGCAGACACAGGCAAAGCCGAGGGAGAGGTGACTTTGTGAGGGTTACTTGGGGGGGAGAACAAGAGGGGACGGACGGAAACAGGGGACGGTGAGGGAGAAGGGGCAGGAGGTGGAGGGGAAGAGAGAAAAACCCTCGAAGCGTTCTTGAGAAGAAGAGCAGTGAGGGGTTTTCTTACCCCGACGAGAGACCAGGAGACCAGGCCAGCTCTGCTCCCGTTGTGCTGGTAACAGTGGTGACCTCCGTTTTCTGAGCAGCTCTTACCTGCCCACTCCTGCACCGGATCGTTGACCACACGTTAGCTCGCTGGTTTCCCCAGGCAGGCGTGCGCTGCCACTCCCCAGCCACTGGAACTCGGCTGAGCTGCTTAGCTACTTGTCCTTCAGCTTCCTGTGAAACAGAGACAATAACAGCTGCTTCGTCGGGTGGTTGTGAAGATTCAGGCAGACTGTGCATGACAAGCCCTTGGACCAGTGCGCGGCCGTGGTTATCGCGAGGGAGGAACTGGAGCTCGCGGAGCTGAGAAGAGATTGGCCCCACTCCGCGCGCGTGGCCAGCGTGTGCGGCTGAGCTGGAATCCCTTCCAAGTCTGTCTGACTCCGGGCAGTGGTCTCCCGCGTTTCTCACTGCCGCTTGGGAGTGGCCGAAGAAAGATTGTGCCTTGGATGTTTCTGATGAAGGACTTTTTTTTTTAAGTATGGTGGCTTCCATCCTAAAACGTAAGGAAAATCAAGGCCCAATGGGAAAATGGCCTTCAACGTGGTCGCTGGCGACTCTGACACATGCACTTGACGTGGAGTAGGAGAAGGACGTTTCCACCCCCACTGATCCCCCTGCTGGCCCCCATCTATCGGCCAGGCCGGGTTTGCCTGTCTCCACCTCCTGGAACCTTCCATTACCCTGCTTCTTACCTCTGGAGATTCTGCCGCGCGCCCGGAGGGGGGTCGTGGGGTTGCCCGCCAGGGGTCTGGAGGGCGAGGGGAAGAGGGGCTGGGAGGACACAGGAGAGCCGGCGGTGTTTATTTCTTTGGTGAGCCGGGGTGAAGGAAGGGGGAGCCTGGGGGGGCACCAGGCCAGAACATTCTGTGATCCCGACGGTCCCCGTGCGCAGCGGCCTTTCTCTCCGCTCGCCTCTCCTGGGCAGTACTGGGGCAGCCAGGAGTGGGGGCAGGACCGAGGGGGAGGGCTCATTTCCAAATGCGCCTGATTGGCTGTATATTTTGTGGAACACCTCCACCTCCCTGCTCAACGAGACTGGCAGAAAAATAATACTTTTGATATGCTGTTTTATTTATCTACATTCTGTCATGATATACTTTGATGTAAGTTTTTAATTTTGCCTCAGCTCTCAGCCGCTCTCGCTGTTACAGCTCAGGGTCAGCAGCGAGGTTAGCCACAGTAGCACAGAACAATTTCCTGTGTGTACAGCCCAGGTAACATTTGGATGAGGATTAAATTTTACCGCATTTTCCACTAGCCCAAGCCTATTATTTCTAATGAGTTTTAAATTGCTTCAAGGACGTGTAGTTCAAAACTTAGTGCCGTGATCCGTTCAGCCTAACCAACTTAATAAAAGAAATTTCTTTCTTAAATTTTTGGTTAAAATGTTGCACGCAGTGTAATAAATGTTATTACTTCGGAAACCTACTCCTCAGTTGTAAGAACTGGATGTTTTTTACGCTCGGTTTCCATTTGTCTAATCGCTTCTCCCCTTCGCCTCTGGGTGCTGGCGTCTTTAGTGACATCTGTTGGCTGAAGAGCGCACAGGGGGAGGGGGCCCTGATCGTCTTCCTAGGCCCGGCCCCACGGACCTGCCTTGATTCCTTCCTTGGGCACCCGAGTTAGGGAAGTTCGGTGTGTAAAACAGCTGAACTTGAAAAATGAGTGGAACCGGCTATGATTACTCACTATACAAAAGAATTTACATCACGGTTCTTCTCGGCAGCCTGCGCTCCAGATGCATTTAAGGCATGACTTAATAACATGCATAAATTGAATTTGTAAAGTACAAGCCACTGTTATTTATTGCGACCTAGATAACAGACCAGTGGTGCCCTAACTGGGTTTTGCAGAAAGTGCCACAGAGGCCCCCCAGAAGGGGGTGGGCGGGGGACCCTGCTGCCCCTGGACCAGCCCCGCCCAGCTGGGTAGTTGTTCTGGATTTGTTTGTCTTGTCATCGGGGTCTCCTGTCTTAAAAAATATGTTTATAAAAGAACTTGAAAATTACTAGAATGCACTAGCGGAAGTATCCTAAGAATGAAGGTTTGTGATTGTATGCTGATATTTAGATGATTACAGTCAGATAGCTGAAGAACGCCTTGACCTT